AAAAAAAAAAAAAGAAAGAAAAAAAAAAAAGAATGTCTTTTATTCACACTCAACCCAAAAAAGGGGAAGGCATTCTGCTGGTACAAGAGACAAGCACGGAGGGTTTTTTTTTGTGAGGTCTCGAGGGGAAGAATAAAAGGGATGGTCACGGAGCTGGATGGAGGGGAACTGATGGGCATTTTTAGTGCCACTAAAGGCAGAGCAGTCCCAGTGCTTCAGCCCCGGGCTGAGTGGGTGGCTCCTCCCTGCTTACACCCCTCAGCTTGCCCGTCACTGCTGGCAGTGGCCAACCAGGGAGAGCACACACGAGTCACGCTGCACAAACCACCTCACACGCTGCCCCGGGGACTGAACAAACCCACCTGGTGTGCAGGGCCGGGGGGGCTGGGCTGGGCTGGGCTGGGCTCTCCTACCTGCAGTCCCGAGATGGCGGCGGGATATGGGGACAGGGCGGTGGATCCCAGGTTCCTGCCCAGCAGGGGGGTCAGGGGGGTGGTACTGGTGGTGTGGGTGGCTCGCCAATACGCCTCCAGGTACTCGGCCAGGTGCTCGCACGCGTCCTCCAGCTGGTTCTCGTCCAGGATCACGTCGAACATGTCCTGGGCACAACACACGGCACAGTGAGACGTGGCCAGCACCTCTGGACGTGCCAGACCTTTGGGGGAGGGTGGGCAGGCCCCGGCACAGGGTGCCCAGGGAAGCTGTGGCTGCCCCTGGATCCCTGGGGGAGTCCAAGGCCAGGTTGGAGCAGCCTGGGCTAATGGAAGGTGTTGGGGTTGGAGTTGGATGAGCTTGAAGGTCCCTGCCAACCCAGCTCATTCCATGATTCTGGGGGTGCAAAACAAAATGGTACCAGTGGGTTTACAGGGTGAGCAGAGTCACCAAACCCCATCCCTGAGGGTCACTGGGTATCTATCACATGAGCCCGTCCAAGCTCAAAGGCACAAAACTCCTTAAGGAATTTATTTATTTCCAGTGATGATGCCCCTAAAACCATTCCCACACCGGGCAGTGCTGACATCAGCAGCATTCCTGCCTCAGGGAACTCTTCAGCCACCCTGTCCATGTGCTGGCTTTACCTGCCTCCCTTCCTGCCTGTCTGGCCACCCTGCCTGCTCTCAAACCTACAGCCACCACCAGCTGAGCCCCTCGAGAGAAACACAACCACATTATCAGCAGCTCAATTTCATATCTCATCTCTAATCTTGACTTCGAAAAACGCTGTGAGAAGAGCACAGGAAACGGCAGCAACAAGCGCAGGTGCTGTGGGTGTGAAGGGCAACCGATACCAACCACAGGCTGCTCCTCCTCCACGTGTTTGTGCAGGGCTCTCCCTGCACGCAGAGCGAGATTTTAAACGATAAAGCCATGTTATTTATTTTTTTTTTTAATTTATTCTCTCTTCTCAGCATGGCAGAGAGATGTTTCTCCTCTGCCAGCAAGGAGTTTCCTTCCAATGAGGATATTCCCAGCACTGCACCCCTTGGTCCAGTTCAGAGTTTATTGCTGTTTGGTTTGCTCCTCTGTTGATCTACAGCATTCTCACCCTCTTTGCTATTCACCCCCCTGCTGCTACACCTCACACTCCAGTCTATCAATCCCATCATCACTTGTGGAGGACATTATTAATTAAAACATAGTTAAATGAGGAAGTAAAAGAATGTGGCTTGCTCACATGTATTTTGCTTTGGAAAGACTGAAATGAAATGGTTACTTTTGGAGTATAATTGTGTTTTCCTAAATAAAGAATTAAGCTGGATTTAGGGGAGAAGAACTCTTTAGCAGCTGCAGTAGAACCGTCACCTTTTTAATATTTCATTGTAAGGTAACACTGGGAGTGGGGAGCCCCTCAGGCTGTCCCTGGGTGTCCCCTGCAGGATCCCGAGCCCAGGGCTGCACAGGGAAAATAATGACAGAGAACATTCAGCCTTTCTCTTGTTTTTACCAGTTCTGCTCACACTGGGTTCTTCTATTTCCCTGGATTTGGATCTTTTAAGAAGATCCCTGTTCGTAAGGGTCAAGGAGAAAAGCAATTCCCCCCCCAGCTCTCCTTGCAGGGCACTTCATTCTCTGCAGCGCTTTCTTACCATGTGCATAAAAGACATATTTCTGACACAGAAAAGAAAATCAGAGGCCACTGCCCTCTGCTATTTCTTTTGGTTTGCTGCAGGACCACTGTGTACCTGAGAGGGGGAGGAATTTCAACCTGTAGATACCTCTTAATTACATTTTAATTACCCCAGTGCCTTTCAGTCCTGCTGGAGTACAATTTCAGTTATTTTTGAGGTTGTGTCCAAGAGCCCAGGGGGGTTTGTACCCTCTGAGGATGGCCAGAAGTTTAAAAACCAATCCCAGTGAACTGTTTATGAGCAGTGAATTTGAAGATGCACAGTCAGTGCAGTTCATGTTCCTCTGAGCCATACAATGTTCCTGCAGTGGAGTTCCTGGAGTCCTGTAATGTTCCTGGAGCCCTGTGGAGCTTAACACGGGCTCGAGCAGCACCAGAGAGAGATTAGCAAGGAATTAATAATGAAAGCAGTTCCTGGGCTCAAATATGCCCAAAGAGACAGCTATTTTTAAAATGTCTAGACATGCAGCACCGGCTGATTCCTCAAGGCTGCTCTCAGCACAGGAGGAAAGGGAGGATTGGGTGGTTCACTTGGAACAAACACTCCAAATCCTCCTCTTGCAGGAGCTGAGAGATCCACGAAGCAGGGGAGAGGCAGCAGCACCATTGCTCTGAGCAGGATACTCTGGCTAATTAAATCATGGATCAAGTTGAATCTAAACCTAACCAGGGTTGTCATGTCCCTTGGAGAGCTCTAAGTCAGCAGTCACTGCTCCAAGTCAGCAATCCCTTTGTTGCCATGGCCCAGAGCAGAGTGCTGAGCTGGCTGCTGAGAAGGCTCCTGTGCAGGGCAGGGAGGAAGAGCCTCTGAGCAAGGAGGGTTTCCTGCACATCTCTGACATTTGGGAAGAGTTTTCTTAGCCAGGTGGGGCCTCACCTTGCTGCCTGAGGCTCCAGAATAGACTTACAGGACTGGGGTTGAAGGCACAGCTCAGCGGGTCCTGGGATGGACAAGCCAAGCGCCACAAGGCACCAACAAGCTACAGCACTGATAATTTCACAGAATCTTGGAATGGTTTGGGTTGGAAGGGACCTCAAAACCATTTCATCCCACCCCCTGCCACAGGCAAGGACACCTTCCACTAGCCCAGGTTGCTCCAACCTGGCCTTGGACACTTCCAGGGATCCAGGGGCAGCCACAGCTTCTCTGGGCAATTTGCCTCATTTAAACTGTAAGCAAAATGAAGCTGAATAAGAAGAATTCACTGTCTAAAGAGCAAAAAAAA